TAATAGAATTAATAACTTCTTTCTTAGAAGCTCTATAATAAATCTATCTCTTAATAATCTATAGTTACTAATAGCTATAGTTATACTTTTAAAAGTAATATTTTAGGCTTAGCTTCTTTATACTTTCTAAATACTAATCTATACGTTCCTGGATCTTTTTTAGATAATCTATTATTATAGACTACTTTTATCTAAAGGCGGCTATTATCTCTCTCTATTTTCTATCCTATAGATAGCCTATAGAAACTATTATTACTATAAGTAGCTTATTCTTTAGGGCCTTAAGTGCCTCTAATTCTAACTAAATAAAGGTATTAATTCTCTAGGCTACTAGATACTACTTATTTAGAGGTAGTAAAATAAAGTAGCTAATAAATATATTCTCTTATTTTATAATACTTTTAAATTGAAGTATATTCTTAAGCTACTATAAGCTAAGGTCTTTAAAAGATAAGTTATTCTTTTAAAGCTTAAGATTAACATCTTAGATAGCTTAATTAAGGTCTAGATTCTTATATATTATAAGTATAAGACTTCATAAGCACTTAAAGCATTTTACCTTATTTAATATTCTTAACTACCTAATACTAAATAGCTATACTAGTTACCCTATAGTAGTACCTATTATCTTACTTAGTAGAAGCATCTTCTTAGTATAAAAGGTAGGGGTTAATCTTAATAGTAACTTAAAATATAGAGGTAAAGGCTTAGAGCCTAGAGGTATAAAGCTATATTATAAAGTAGTAGAGGGGGTAGAGAATCTAAGGGTATCTTATAAAATATCTTTACTAGATAGTACTAATTACTTTTTCTTAGGTATTACTAAAACTGGTAGAGCTAGTAAGCTGTAATATAAGGATCTAGACTTATCTAGTTAATTACTTACAAATATCTTTATATATTAAAAGAGACATATAATTGTATATATATATAAAGCTAGTTTAAATAAGGTATAAACACGCTTAATTCTTTTAAAGATATAGAAGAATAATAGAAAGAATTCTAAGCGTGTTGTTATAGTATTATATTTTATATTTATAACTTTACTACTATATAGATAACTTTAGGTATATAACGCTCCTTAATCTAGATTAAATCTAAATAGAATTAATACTACCCCTAAATAGTTATATCTAATAAATTTTTATAAAGTAAATAAAATAAAAGAGAAATTAAAAGAAGATAATATAGAAGCTTCTAAAGCGCTATTTAAAGTATATAAAGTAAGTATAAAGATCTAGTAGTATATATAGAGTCTTTTACTAAAGTTATAGAAGTTACTCTACTTTACTATACTTTATATAAAACTATATACGCAAGTGTAAGTAGTTCTACTAAAGATAGTAGTTTAAAAAAAGAAGGTAAAATAATTAGAGTTAATAAAGAATATTAAATTTAGTAATTATATCTAATACGCAGTAAAAGCGGATAGTATTATTAATAAAACAGTTATTTAATAATATAAAAGAGTGAGTAGACTACTAGCTAGACTAACATAAAGCTAAAACTAATAAAGATTTCTATATAATAAAGCCTAGCTACTAAAGAAAATAAGTTATATTTAGCTTTCTAAGACTTAAAAAGAAGAGGAATATATTAAATAAAGAAATTAAGGTGTTTTCTAACTATAAAGTATTATTAAAGAATTAGTACAATTAAAAGTAATAGGTTTTATAAATAAAACTAGTAAGTACTTATATAGAACCTTAAAGAGTAAAAAGTAAGTATATTTAAGGTAGTGAGATAGAAGGTGAGACTATAGAAGATATATAATTTTATCTAGACTAAGCTTCTATATATTCTTTAATTAGTTAAACTTTAATTATTAAAGTAGCTAAAGATATATATTAACTATATTAAATCTTCGTCCTTATAATAAATAAAAACTATAAGCTCTATAGTAGAGGTGTAATACCTTATTCTTATTCTATTAATAGTATTTTTATTTAAACACTTTCCTAAAATACTAGATAATATACTTTCTTTATCTAGATAACTACCTTCTAGTTATTAGACCTAATTAATAAACAATTTCTCTCACCTAGAAAATATACCTTTAGAATACTTAAAGTAAAAGAGAGCTCACATTCTTTACCTAGAAGATAATCTTAGAGTAGTTCTAGATTTAGTAACTTTAATTCTTAGACTTTCTAATAAGTATCTCCCTTTTCCTTATTAAATAGTAATTATAGCTTCCTTTATCTTAGAGGTATTCTCTAAAGGTCTCTTTTAACTAGATATAAGTATCTTTTTATTATAAATAGCCTTTATTTAAAGTCTTTAAATAAGATATAGTTACCCTAAAGTGCTTCTAGTATATCTTTCTTAACCCCTTTTTAATACTATATATAGCTATAGGCGGCCGCTCTAAGCTACTAGATATTCTTAAGTAGTAGCCTATAAAAGAGCTTTTACTTTCTTTCTTTCTTTATTACTAGCTAATAAATAGATACCTTATAGTATCTATTTACTATACTAACTTCTTAGTAATAGCTAGAGAGAGTAATAGTAAAGATAGAGCTAGATCCTAGAAGCTAATAGAGTAGCTAAAGAAACTTAGGAAGCTAGATAGTAATTACTAGTCTACTATAACCTCTAGTTAAAACTAAAACCTACTATTCTAGGCTTAATAGAAATAGACTACTTATATACTAACTTAAGGTCCTTTCTACACCTTATTAAGAACCTACTACTAGCAGTCTAATAGCTTAAGCTATATAACATAGAGACTCTTCTCTGAATAGTATTTACTCTAGCCCTTTAAGGGATACTAGAGTTATATATAGCTATCCTTAGTAGCCTAATAGAGATACTAAATACCTAGCTAGTACTAAGTTTAAGTACTACTAACTACTCTCTACTAAGCCCGCTAGATAAGCTAGGGTTATAGTACTAAATTAAGTATAAATATAGAATAGCCTTATTTAAAAAACACTACCTAGCGCTAGTAGTACTATAGTAGAAACCACCTCTAATTAGTATTAATATAGAGGAGGTAACCGCTATAAATAACTATAACTACTAGATAATTAGTAGCTCTAATCTAGTACTATATACTAATAGGAGCTATATAGAGATAGGTGTTACTACTATAGTAGTTAGCCTCTTTACTAGCTAATAAGAAGTAGCCTACCTAGAGAATCTAGTATACCTTACTATTAAATTCCCGGAGCTATATAGTATCTACCTTATACTTAGTATCGTGGAGGAGGCTAGACGCCTCTATACTATCTACTTAGATAGTAAGAAGGCTCTTACTATAATTAAGGTAATAAGGGTGTAATCGAAATAGTATTTAATCTAGTAAATTATTAAGGCTATAAATAAATATATCTTAGTTAAACTCTACTAGATTCTAGTATATAAGGAGGTACTAGGTAATAAAGTAGCTAATAAGCTCGCTATAGAGATAATAGAGTAAAAAGACTAGCTACTATAGAATATTTACTAGCTAATAGTAGTAGCTAGAAGGATAGTAGCGTAATTAGTATAGAAGAAATAGAAAAGAGCTTAAAAAAATAAAAAGAGAGGGAGAGTATTCTACTAGCTCTAAGATAAACCCGCTAAGGTAGTTCTTAATAAGTATAAAGAAGCTATTAAAGTGTAGTATATAACTATTATCTAGTTATACACTATCGTGGGTAAGAGGTTAGAGTATAGAACTCAGGTAAGTAGGTCGTGCGCGCCCGCGGAGGTGAGGTATTAAGGTAGAACTATTAAGGCGATAATAGGAGCATGGTAATAGGTTATATGAGATTAAACGACAAGTAAAACGAGTGTGGTATTCCGTAATGCTATAATATAATAGATGATACTTAACTGCTTGAATAACTAATAAAGAACCTCAAACTACCACACGTGTACCCTATACTAGCTCTTATATACTAAACCTCCTGCACTACTATAATACTAGTAAGATTAGACTAAAGATTCATCTAAACTAAATTAGTAGAGAAGATTTACTAAGCTATAGCTATCGTAAAGAAAGATAGATAGTATAATATATTCTTACTATATATAGAAGATATAAGGAGCTAAGAGAAATAAGACTATAGAATAAAAAGGTATCTTTTTATTAAAGAACTAATATAAGAGTACTTCTAGATAGTAAGTAAGCCGCTAAAATAGTAGTTTTTATAATATATATATAAATAAGCTAAACTAATTCACTTATATTTATAAAGTATATCTTAAGGCTAAAGCTACTACTATTAGTAAGAATAAGATGAACCTTAATAAATTCTTTCTATCTCTTACTAGCTAGTAGCCTTAGCTTTAAATACTAGCGCTAGCAGCTAGTAGAAGACTAATAGTATTAATAACTTATAAAGATATACTAATAGGTTTAGGCGTCCGCGATTATCTACCTATAACTCCCTCTATCTGTAGATGTTTTAGGAGTAAAGTATATAGTAGAAGATAGAGAGTATAAGTAGAATAGATTAAGAGGAATTTACTAAGAGTTTTCTTACTAAGAGGCTTGCTAAAGAATTCTACTAAGGGGTTTACTAAGGGCTTTAGAGATTATAAAGGGCCTATTTTAATCTATAGAATAGGAGTTAGGGAGGAGGCGTGCTATAATACTATAAAATCTCTTATATTTAGTAGATTCTAGCTAAGGGGATAGAATCCCTTAGCACGAACCACTAGCGGTATACTCTATTAAAAAGGGCGGAACCGCGGCAATTGAATCTACTACTACTACTACTACTACTACTACTACTATAATAGTAGCTAGAGCTCACTCGACACTATATACGCCTCTTATAGAGCTAATATAAGGTTCGGTATAGTAGCGATTAAGGCACATAGTGTACGCATATATTGGATGTTTTCTTCTTCAATACAAAACAGGTTCGCTCTCTACATTTCTGCATGCTTGCAAGCTAAGTGGTTGTTTAATTACAAGGATCAATTTCGATGCGCGACGTTTGACTCAAGTTCAGCGTAACCAACCACACCATTCCCGATCTCCTTATATTGCTTGCTACTATGTATCTTCACTTCTTTGCACTGAGTGGAGACGTCCTTCCTGGATAGGCTTCCGCACTATCGAAGTGATAGAGGTCAGGTGCAGGAGCGGACTTGTTGCGGAAGATATATCTCTTGAACCACCATGGCAGCGCTTGCGTGAGTTGGTAGCGTGCGTGCACACGAGTTGGCACGGCGAAAACATAGTCAAGCTCCTCGAGAGACCGTTGTTTGGTCTCCGGCATGAAGAGGAAGATGGTTACCAAGGCGATGATGTTGAGTCCAGCGTAGAAACCGAAAGATCCTTGAGGCGTAAACGCAAGGAGCATACGGGGGAAGGTGAGCCCAAGCACAGCTGCCCAGAAATTGTTTGTGGCAACTGCCCATGACATCCCGACTTCGCGGTGAGTAAGCGGGAACACCTCAGACGAGTAGACAAAAGCGCAGGGCCCCTCGCCGGGGGAGTAAAGGGCAACAAAGACGAAGATAAAGAGCGCGATGAGTCCAAGGTGCGCTAGACTGCTTTCCGGAATATAGAACGACATGCCAGTCGCTAGGAGGGTCCAAAACATATTGGGAAATGTGGCAATGAGCAATGTTCGGCGTCCCCAGGTGTCAATGGTATAGAGGGCTGGGAAGGCAAAGACAAACATGGTCATGCCAGATCCCCATGATACGAGCAGTGCGGTGACGGTGCTGGCACCAGCCCTTTGGAAGATGGTGGACGAATAGAAAGCGATGATGTTGACTACAAAGCACAGCGTGTTAGATGTGTTCGGAGAACCGAGCTGGTGTTACTCACTGCCGCACATCTGTTGAGCAATCATGATGATACCCGAGGCTTGAGTTGCTCGCCGGATTCGCGGAACCGTAAACAATTCCACAAATCTTGTGAAGAAGTTGTCGTTCTTCGAGAAACCCTCTTCTTCTAGTAGAACTTCTTCGGCCACCAGCTGAGCGTGGACGTAATACAAGTCTCTCGCAGCCTGAACGGGGCCGTTTCGGAGCCGAAGGAGGGACCTGTAAGCTTTGGCGTGTTTGTTCTTTTTAATAAGCCATCGAGGCGACTCTGGAGCGAAGTAGATGCCGATTAAGAGCGGCACAGCTGGAATGAAAGCAGAGCCAAGCTGTAGTCGCCAGGCTATTGCGCCGGTATTAAAAACTACAAGATTAGCCGAAAACCCGAGCATGATACCAAAGGCAACGCATAGCTGCCATGACATGACCAAGGCTCCACGAATATTTGTTGGGGCATTCTCGGCTGAGAAGACTGGGACAGTGACTTCTTTTAAGTCCCATGCCAATGCCGAGCAGAATCCGGCAGATTAGGATCTGTGGCCAAGTTTGAGCAAGAGCCTGGCCGATGGGACTGAGCAAGCTGAAGACAGCTCCTATAAAAATGGCTCCTCTTCGTCCAATGAGGTCGTCGACGGGATCTGAGAGCCAACAAGCACTATGCGTGTTAGTGGACGGCGCTCACCCCATAGATATCACCACTTACAACAAAGCAATAGCCATATAAGGAGCACCATTAATAGCTCCAATGATCCAGGAGTTCTTTTCGCAAGTACCAAGCCCCTCGCAAGCCCCCGTGTCGGCGATTCCGAACTCCTGTGGAAACGAGAGGTTTGCTCCATTTGAGCCGGTCTGATCCCATCCTTGAATAGCCGCACTGATGGAATTGAGTAGAATGGTAAAATAGAGAGTTTTGGGGTGTTTCCACCGGTGAGCCTTCTCGTTTCGCAAGACTTGGCGGTCATCTTCGTCGAGCTCTTCGATTGTCTCGAAACCCGTGGGGTTCTGTGCTACAAGAGCACCCTTTCGGAGATACGGCAAGGCATCGGCCAAATCATGTTCAGTCGCATAAAGTTCGACATCCCGGAGTAAGTCATCTTTAGAAATGCCAACGAGTGGGTTCTTGATCCTGCGTTCATCAGTAATGCGGACAATAGGAGCTGAGGTGATATACTGACTCTCCAGTGGTATTTTGGGTCATGTCAACGATGCTCTGATGACGGCCGGCCGGGTCAGCAAAGATGGACCCGCGCCGTTCATGCCCATCCTTTTCCGCGCCTGTTGGCGACTTGTGATCGACATGTTCAGCCTGATACATCTTCGACATCTTGATGATGACTGTTCTGACGATGCAGTTTTCCGGAAGATACAATTGGAGTGCTCAGATGCTATACCATCAAGCGCACTACATGGATTATATAGTGGACTCTGGAGAAGTAGGAAGCCGAGGTCAAGAGATAAACGTCTGGGGTCGGAGGGTCACCGAGCAGAAGGCTGACTGCAGGGCGAGTCTCTCGTCTATCTCGACATTACAAGCGTTCCTAGCATCTTGACAAATAAGACTACAGCAGTAGGATTATCCTGCATGTTTTCTACATAGGCAGTCTTTACGCGAGCTGAGTCTCTTCGCGCAGGTGCGACGGGACAGAGGATGCGATTAGTCGGAGAGATTCTGGCAGTTGTCTTGGTGTGGCTTCGCGAGGTGCCTCCGTTCGAGAGCTCCCCCCACGAGTCGGAACATGTCCAAGGCATTCCAGGTAGTGGGGATACATTTTGCTGCGATCTGGTGTGCACGCTCGGGAGGCTGCCGATTGGTAGGTGGCACGAGAAAAATCATAAGAAACGGCGGGATCCTTGATGTGGAGTATTCCCGTGCTCGGAGTTTCCCCAGATGGAGAAACAGGTGGGTTGCTCTATTGTACACTACAAGCGGAGGAAAACTTCAAATGTCGTGTCGGTGCTGCGCCGAGAGGCAACGCCAGGCGAGCGTGTTATCGGGGTTCAATGGCCATCCAATCAGAAGTCGGTTGTGCTACTGCTGGTTTCAAAATGTGCGGCCACCCGGCGATCACGAACATCAAACCCCCCCCCCCCTCTCTTAAGATAAATCGTTTTTGAAGCTTTATAGAATAACTAGCTGCCTAAATTAATGCTATAATAGGCTATAAGCTTAGCGCTAGTACTATATAAGCTATTATCTTATATATTAAATATAATATAAATAATAGCGAGATCGCGTAAGCTATAAAGGTATTATAATATACTATTCGCTGTATACACTTAAACCTTAAGCTATTTAATAACCCTTATATACTACTATTAGTTATCCGTAGTCGTTTAAAGCTACTTACTTTTATATAAGAGAATATAGATAACTATAAGCTATATTATCTATAATAGAGGCTAATACTATACCTAAAGGTACTTCTTAAATAGCTATAGTTACGCGCTACTATCTACTTTAATAAGATAGTATCTTAGCTTAACTAGTAGTTTAGTATTAAGCTATTAAAACTAACTATCTACCGAATACTAGAGAGAGCGTATTAGAGTTATAAAAAGATAGCCTATATAGCCTAAAAGTATAATCTACTCTTATAGTAAGCTTAGCGGGTGTAGTAGCTACTATATAATAAAGCGGAGCTAGTATTTATTAATAAGTTAGCTTTAAATAAGTGTAGTAGCGATAGACGCTAGGGTTAGTTAAGAAAGAAATACCTTATTATTAATAAAACGGAATCTATCTGGTTAGAGTAGTATATAATACTCCCTATATTAATAATTAATAGTTAGGTAAAAATAGTAACTCTAGTCTTTTAGAATACTATAACTAAGTAAATCTTCTTAAACTAGCTAGAGTAGCTACTACTACTAGTACTAATATAGCGGCTTAGTAGATTAGTAATTATTTTAGATAATACCTCTATCTACTATAGCCCTAAAGTTAAGGAGCTTTACTAAGTATTTAGTATTAATCTTAACTACCTCCTGCTATACTTACTTAATTTAAACTCTATTAAGACTATATTTACTAATCTAAAGGCGTAAATTAAGTATAATTAGGACTTAATAGACTTATTTAAAGAGTTTAGCGGCTTTTTATACTTAGTAATTGAGCTTACTAGTAGTAAAAATACTAGAGCCTATTTTTACTATATAGGGTATAGTCTAAGAATAGAAATTATATAAGAAAACGTATAGTCTAATGTAGTCTTATAGAAATTTAATGAATTATTCTATTTATATAAAGATCTCTATAAATACTACTCCTAAAATTCTAAAAAAAAAAGATTCTTAGAAAATATATATGCGAAACCCTTTAGCTATATATAATAGGTACTAGATAGTGTTATAGTATATTAATAGCCTTAGTATTAAGCTAGTTATTATAGCTTAATAAGGCGCTAGAGGATTATCGGAGTTATTAGAGTCTTAAATTTAAAACTCTAATTATATTATATATAGCTAAGCTCTAAGTTAATTAGCTAAAAAATTTTTACTAGACTAGAATAAGTATATCTAACAAAAAACTTCAAAAATAAATAACACCACCTAAACTGATATTATACTAAGAACAAGTTCTTGAAGCTTATATAAAGCGGTTTAAAATTAAGATAGTAGTAGATAGTATATATAGCTTAGAGAGAGTAGTTTATATACTACTATCTCTTAAAAGAACTAACCTTCTTATAAATGCACCTAAAATAACTAATAGGAAGGCTATAATACTTCTACTAGTTCTTAGTAATATCCTTTAGTAATCTACTAAGATTCTATCTATTTTTAGCTAGTATATTCTTTAGAGAGCAAAGAAAGTTATTGGCAAAAATTTTTGTTACTTCTAAGATCTTAGAGCCACCTCTAAAAGCTTAGAGGTGCTAAGCTTATATCTATCTTGCAAGCGGCTTGCGAGCGGCTTATAAGAAGGCTTAAGTAGCTAGAGTAACCTAATTAACTTAAGTAACTTAATTAGCCTATTTACTCTTTAATTATAAGTATTATAACCTAACTTATAATTATATTTATAAAATATTATATAGTCTACTAGCTTCCTCTTTATAAATACTATTATTTTTATTATCTATATAATATATCTAGGTATTATATAATATACTCTTATTTATTAATTACTCTTTTATTAAGGTCTTATAAATTATACTCTTATATAACATAGAGTTAGCTTATTACCCTTAGTAATCTATATACTCTTAATACCCTTTTAAACTTATCTATAGTGTCTAATCTAATTAATTCTTCCCCTCTAGTAAAATCTTTTATTATATCTATCTTATTATATTTTCTCTAATTAATAGATCTAACTGCTATATCTTCCTTAATATATCTTACTTAATTAGTAAATATCGCTAGTATATCTTCCGTAGTAAATATTTATAGAATAATTAATACTATTAAAAGTATTTACTAGAGTACCTATAATACTTAATTATTCTAGGCAAGCGCACTATTATAGTACTTATTACGCATATTATTAAGCCTTATTAATATACACTCATTTTAAATACACCGCCTATATACTAATAATATAGTTACTCTACTATATTACTTAGCTCTTTAAAGTCGGTGTCTATACTAACTTATATTTTTATTACTACTATATTATTAGCGACGACCTTATCTAATATTATATAGTATTTATTCTCCGTTAATAATAGCCTCTTCTTTTTAAGGCTACTAGTAAGTACTATCTACTATAGGATTACGCCTTTATTAAAACTAAATATTAATTAGAAGTCTTTAAATAGTATATTAGCGTCTATATTATACTTCGATTTCTTTCTATTATAGTTCTCCTAGATAATAGTTATATTAGGAGTATTAGATAGAGTTATAGTCTACTAGGTAGTAAGTATTATATCTATCTAACTAAGAACTATATATAAAACGAACCTAATTATCTACTTTACGTAGAAATGGCTTTATTACTAGTAGTAGGCTTTTAGGTATAATAGACTTAGCGTCTTACTCTATATAGTACCTTAGTATTTAATTCTAACTTATATTACTTAAAGAGCCTAAGTCTATAATATTATTGCTAGTAGTATATACGGAGTCTACTTAGAGGCTAGTTAATTCTTATAGCTTTAGCGGTAAGAGGTGTATATATTTTACTAAGTTTATTACTAAATCTTTCTATAGATTATAGATAGGGTCTATATTATAGGTAGTACTCTTAGCGTACCTAAAGTGCTACTCAGCCTATTTCCGGATAATAATTAATAGTAAGCGTTTCTTCTACTTGGATTAATTATCCTAGGTGGTCTTAAAAAGCTTATATATATCTATTTTATAGTTAATAACATCTATAACTCTAAGCACTTTAGTAGTAGTGTCTACTACTACATCTTAATATACTTAAGCCTAAGGTGTATATATAGTATATACCTACTATATATATTCCTTTAAACTTTACTCTTACCTTCTATCCTATCTTAAAGTTAGATAGCATATACTTTATATATACGCTTATAAAGGTAATATATTAACTAGACGAGCCTAGGAAATACTTCTAGGTATATAGATTCCTTATAAGGCCCTTATCTCTATTATCGGCGTAGAAGGCTAAGGCGATGCTTTTAATAATAACTAGTACTAGAAATAATTCCGGTTTATTAGGCTATATATCTATTAAATAAGCTATTAGTGGAATAATATACTTATATTATTAGGCTAGTTCTTTAGAAAGTAGTTATTATCTAGTAGCTTTCCTATTAGTACCTTTAGATTCTTATTTTTAGTCTAAAATTCGTATATAGCTCTAATAACTACTTCAACCACTTTAAGTATATAGCTATAGTAGATAGAAAGATATTTATATAACTAATTAAGAATTAATATTAGCTAAACTTAAGATTTAGGGAATCTACTTACTTTCTTTACTTTAGCTAGAGTCGGTTCTATATCCACCTTACCCTCTCTTACTATATAATAGTTCTATAGATGCTTTTTTACGTCCCGCTATAAGTATCTTATAAGTTTATCTAATTATATCTTTCTTACCTTAGGCTATAGGTTAACTTTAGGTTAACTTTAGTTTTACTTCCTCCTATTATAGAGGCTTAGACTACTTGTATTATATATCTAAGTATAAATTTATAAGTAGGTAAGGACTATACTAGAATCTCTTTAATTCTACTTATTTATACCTAAACTATAGCTAGTATATAAATATCGCTATCCTAGTCTAATTCTACTTAAGTTAGCTTAGATATTTATAATTTCTTAGTTAAGCGCCTAGTGCTATATTTATCTTACTAATACTAAGACTACTACTAAGATTTCTTATATATTAGTCTTTATTAATACTTA